AGGACGCCTGGGGCAGAGCAGCTGGGGTGCTGCTGGGGTGGTCCACTAGCGCCGAGGAGCGGCCGCGCTACTGGACCAACCCAGCAGCACCCGAGCTGCTCTGCCCCAGGCGTCCCCAAGTCAGCTGCTGCTGAAACTGATCAGCAGCTGATTCCAGGAAGCCCAGGGCAGAGCAACTCTGCCTCGGGCTTCCTGTAGTCAGCCGCTGGTCAGTTTCAGCATTGGCTGAATCAGGACGCCTGGGGCAGAGCAGCTGGGGTGCTGCTGGGGTGGTCCACTAGCGCCGAGGAGCGGCCGCGCTACTGGACCAACCCAGCAGCACCCGAGCTGCTCTGCCCCAGGCGTCCCCAAGTCAGCTGCTGCTGAAACTGATCAGCAGCTGATTCCAGGAAGCCCAGGGCAGAGCAACTCTGCCTCGGGCTTCCTGTAGTCAGCCGCTGGTCAGTTTCAGCATTGGCTGAATCAGGACGCCTGGGGCAGAGCAGCTGGGGTGCTGCTGGGGTGGTCCACTAGCGCCGAGGAGCGGCCGCGCTACTGGACCAACCCAGCAGCACCCGAGCTGCTCTGCCCCAGGCGTCCCCAAGTCAGCTGCTGCTGAAACTGATCAGTTTCAACAGCGGCTGAATCTGGACACCAGTTCCACTTACATACAGATTCAACTTAAGAACAAACCTACAGTCCCTATCTTGTACGTAACCCGGGGACTGCCTGTACCAGGAAGAAGCCCATTTCTACAAGATTCCCCAGCTCAACTTCATGAAAAAGCTCAGCAGTCTGGGAAGCTAAACTGAAGGAGCTGCCAATCCTTTTGAAGTACATCCTTTGCCAACACGTAATCATGGTGCGCTGCACAGGGATCTTGGGAAGAACCAATTCACACCTCTGTCTCTGAAATTAAAGATGTGTGTCAGGTGCCAAGGAAGGTTCCCAGGACTTCCTGCCATAGACACCACACTCCCAAAACTGATGCATTTTGCTGAGCTGAGCATCGGGTCTTATTTTTTCCTATCTCTATGCAGAGCCCAGATCAGTGCTCTTCGCACAGCTAAAACTTCTGTAGACACTGGGTAGATGTTTTGGGTGCACCAAGAGTACAAAATCAGGCCCTTTCAATGTTCTGTCATCAATTGCTCTTTGAGCAGGAGAGAGAAGCGGGTGCATGGGGACAGTATGCAGAAATCACGAGGCTGGGCATTATGCATTCACAGAGCACATGATGCCAGCCGTGATGAGGAGGGACAGCTATTGTACTGGGGCAATAAAGTCTTGGAGACAATGGAAAAAAGGGATATTTTGTTTTAAGAAACAGAACAAATTTGATCTCGCGCTTGGTGAGACCCTCACACAAGTCAAAAAGGGGCCTTGTTAACAAAGGCTAAATGTAGTGCACCAAGCTAAAACACAGAACAGGACAAGTCAGTGTTAGAGGCCTGAAGGCAGGAAATTCAGAATTAAAATAAGAGGCTCTGTCCTTAACCTACTGCTCTCTACCGGGGTCACCAGATGTCTCTAGGCATGTGACACCCATTTTCCACCTAGTGGGATTTTAAAACATGACACTGCATCAGCACAGGAAGAAAAGCAAACAATAAGGTGAGAGTTGAAATACTTAACACTGGAATAATCTTATAGCAAAAGACACTGATGGAATAGACCAGCCAACCCTACCAGAAGCAGGACGTGTATTCAGCCCATCAGTACCAAGTTTATTTATACTCAGTAAAAGTCAGTGCAAGGTCCAGTGGTGATTTATGTGTCTTGATTGTGCTCAGACGCAACATTGTGAGAACAGGAGGAATGCCATTTAAGTTAATAGTTACACCCGAGTAAATCCTGTATTAGTCAGCAGAGTAATAGACTCAAAAGTCCAAGAAGTTTAGAAAGGGATCCAACATTGTTTGACTTACAGAACCTGCATTTATTCATACAAATCAGACTTGACATAATACTGGGCTACCAATACTTCCTACCTCTGACGAACTGAATGTTGTGGGTCAACCTGAGACCTGAAGATAGTAAATATAACCCCACTGAAGTCAATTTGAATCTGACTGTCACCTAAAAAGGCATGGGAATTTCCCTTACATCCCTCAGTGAAGATCAGTGCAAACAATTTATGTAACTTCTCTGTGATAGCCTTGTCTTCCTTAAGTGCTCCTTCAGAATCTTAATCATCCAGTGGCTCCACTGATTATTTAGCAGGCTACCTGCTTCTGACGTACTTAAAACTATTTTGCTAAGTTTTGGAGTTTTCTATTAGTTACAATGTGATGAACTGGCTGCTTAACGGATGGAAATCAGAACTGCTCAACTTTGTCTCATAGTCAATAAAGCTAATGGAGCCTTCACCTCAGACAGGAAGTCCGAGTGAGCCATGGATCTTAAG